GGGGGGGGGGGGGGGGGGGGGGGGGGGGGGGGGGGGGGGGGGGGGGGGGGGGGGGGGGGGGAGAAGGAAGGCTGGTGAAGGGTGCTCTGGTCTGTACCAGAGATAACATTGCCTGTTTGAACAGTTCCATAGCACCGGGTATTAAGAGCTGGTTAATTCCGGTCTAAATCGGAAAAGTACCCTGCTAGTGGGACTTCCTAGGTGCTTTTAACTTACTGTAACCAGGACAAATTCAGCCTTGCTCACTCTCATAGATCAGGGAAGGCTCCCTTGGACTGCTGGGCCCTGGAGCTGGTGAGAAATGCACCGAACTAAGAAACCAACGTGCGGGGGCTCTGTGGGCTTTACGTCATGGCTACCTGAGAGCCAGCCGCCTCGGTCCCATGCTCCAGGTCCTCTGGTCCCCGAAGGAACCACCATTGGATCTCCAGGTACACTGAAGCGGAGCCGCTTTGGAAAGCACAGGACATCTCCACATTTTGTCCCTCGGTCGCAGTCACGTTCCGCGGAAACTCGGTAAATTTTGCTGCAAGACAGAAACGCATCATTCTGGCGTATCTAGATATTACCAGCTTTGCCGATGTATCTTTCCTGGAGAACTCGACACAAGTTTTTGTTTGTTTGGTCTTTTTTCGTGGGCCTTGAAAGGTGAAAATAAAATCAGCAATAACAACCCTTCTGACATCTCCGCAGGGTTCCCTGTCCCTCCTTGCTTTGCCTCTGCGTGCCTTGTTCTTGGTATCATGCCTACATCACTTTGGTGTTGATCAAGTGCAGATAATGGAAAGGTTAACGAGCTTGCCAATAGCTCTCCTCTGCTAGCCAAGTTGCCCAGAGTTAGAGCCAAACATCTTTTGTCAGATTGCAGCATTACCTAAAACTTACTGAGAGATCCAGGGAGGTGCAATTTAGACCGTCTTTCCAGTCGATATACCAGAAAGCCTCTGGATTCTTAAGTTTCTAAACCCTCTATGATTAACCGGGGTGTTCCCTGTTAGAAATGGGTGGTGTGTAAATATCAAAACCTACATCTTAATCTGTCAAAATAATGGTTAGAAATTTTGTTTTGGAGCCTAAGTAGGGAAACAAGTTGCACACTACCTAAGAGGTGTACGGTTTCATCTCTGCAAGTTAACCTTCACGTTTGTTCCCTTCAAGGCATATAAATTGACATATGTCAGGGGACATAAAAATCATAATCCATGTTTAGCTCAGGTCAAAGATGATTGGAAAGACACTATAAAGACTCTGGCTAACCCTTTGGCTAACCTTGGCACTGCCAGCTTGGAAGATTAATAGACCCGTGTGAGAGTTATAAAAATAAACCGCCCCCTCCTCCTCAGGGCATTCCTTGAACATGGGATGATGTTTTTCCTGCTAACTAGATGACTGTTCTTAGCCTGTCTAAGGGGCACTTTGCAAAGAGCTGATGGCTCTCTAGAAGGAGCCTTCTATTTGTGGTTGATAGAAGGGCACAACCACAAGGCACACATATGAAAGGAGGGTCGCTGAAAGGATGGCAGGGATGGTTTCAGCCACTTTCTCTTCATTACTTAAAGACAGTGAATCTGGATGTCTCTTTTCACTATTTTATGAAATCCCCAAGGGGACGGATTATGTTTCAAGGGAATAGACACTATCAGAAGGCAGCCTATCTGAATAGGGTTTTCTGCTCACATCGGCCAGCAAAGTGGGGTTATTTCTGCTCACAGAAGTGATGCAGTCTCCAGGAGGCCAAAACTGTGATCTGCTCATGGTGCTGAAGCATCCACTGCAGCCTGCAAAGTCCTGAACAACTGGGCCCAGCAGGCAGCTGCTGCTTATGATGCAATTAGGACCTCCTTGTGGACTCTGGTAAATAGGCATTGGAAAGAAGTCACAGGGACCAGAGAAGGGGACTAAAGCTTTTTGCCTACAGGGAAGCCCCTTCCAACCAGCAGCTCTGCATTAGTAATGACTGTATGTGCATGAGTGATAGCCCTGTTCATGCACATGGAACACACACACACACACACACACACACACACACACACCTGTGTATGTGCTCACCAAGGAACTCACCCCATTGCCAGTCTGGTGTCTATTAGATTTTCTTTGAAACCTGGTTAGCTTGCGATTTAATAAACTTTGAAGGAAATTTAAGGAAAAAAAAAAAGCCAAGCCGAACACTAGTCATACTACCTAACACTGTTGGCTTGCTTTGAGCCACTCTCAAGCCTTCTGTCCATTCTTCTAGTTGGTACAACACACACACACACACACACACACACACACACACACATACACACACAGCACCACATACACACTACAAGCAACGGACTTACCTTGAGAAGAAAGCCCTTGCTGTACATATAACACGGAAAAGAACACAAATCCAACAGACGCCAAAAAGATCCCCATCATGCCAAAGGAGGGAGGCACATCCGTGTAGTCAAGAGCCCCCAAACCTAAAAAGACAGGCAAGCAAGCTTGTTCACCGGCTGCTTTCAGAGCTCAGGGCGCGACACTGCATGCATGCTGCCGCTCTCGGCGTAGATTGGCTTGGGCACAGGGGATTGCGACTGGCGAGGATTGGACCAAGCTGGCTGGGATCTGGAGACTTCAGGCGCAGACCCGGGCTGCCACGCTGCGAAGTGTCTCCGCCGGCGACTGGCTGCTTCCGCTACCTGGCAGCTCGTCCCACGTCAGCCGCTCGGCTTGCGTGCTCGTCGCCCTCCCCACGCCCAGCGAGCCGGCGGCGAGTGGAGCGGGCGCGGGGCGGCGCGGACTGGGCTCGCGCGGCGCCCAACTTTGCCTCTAATGGCTGCGATGATGCCTTTAACTCTGTGCGCGCCGGGGTTGCGCACCTGCCGGCCGGGAGGCCCTGCCAGACCTCTGCGCTCCTGTCCGCTTTTATCCCCATTAGCGGGCTTGGGCTTCGCCGGAGCAGATGGCTTTGTGCAAAGAGGACAGGACAAATACAGGGTCCTGGCGTTTGCTCAGGGTTAGGAGCAAGGGATTTGAGAAGGAAGTTGAGGCATTGTTAAAGACGGAGGAGGGATGGGATGGGTTGGGAGTGACTGCTTTGGGGCGATGAACACAGCCCTTGGAGGGAAATGCTGCTTAACCAGTTATTAACTGCTCCAACTAGAGCGATCACATGCTATTATTTCACCAGGATGTATTGTGAGCAGCTTGCAGCCCAGCAGAGGCCATTCGTTCAGGCACCGGATCACTCCAGCTGGCAAAGGGAAGACACAAAAGTACTCAAGTCGTGTACTGAGAGAATTTTCCAGAAGGAAAAGTCTGCCTTGCAATGCGCAGCATCTTTTTTATTCTTATACCCATTGCTTGCTTTGCCTTCTTCCCACAGTATTTCGGGTGGGGGAGGGGTTTCGCAAGTCATTTTACAAATCCCGCTTTTCAGAGAGTATAAATAAGGTTGTCTTTACAAGATTTATTTGTGTTTTGTTCAATTTCTTTAGCATAATAGTAATTACACAATAGTCTGTAGGATTATATGAATAAAGAATATTATTTTAAGCACCCCCTTCCCAAAACAAAGCAGAAATCTCCAGTAAGTTTCAGAGCTTGGAACAAGACTAGTCATTTGTCTTGGGAAACCTTGAGATGTATATTGTATTTTTAAAATTAAGGATCTTAAACAAACAAAATCCCAGAAACTCTTGTCAGTTCTTGTTAAACCTAACCATTAATTAATGACCTTACTTCTTAAAATATATTTTTCATCAAAAAGCATAGAATAATGTAAAACATTTTCAATATTTTTACCACGTAGATATATACCTCAGTTCTTCAGTATTAATTGGAAATATGTATTAGTTTTACAGTGCTACCAGAAAGCCAATGAAGTTTATGTATTTTCATCCTGGAAGTTGTGTTTGTACTTGGCTGACTCCTTTCCTGCCACAAAAACTTAACCCTAACGTGGCTGTAGGGTCTTAAAACCACTTGTCTTCTGCAGCTAAGTGCAGTAGGAACTTAAAATATTAAGAAACTAAGGCACAAGAACTTCATAGAAATATGACTTAATTTGTGAAGATACAGTTGCTGCCATTGTGGATGGAGGCAGAATAGGAGAGTTACAGACAGACTTGGGGGACATTTTACCTCTGTTCACGTTCGCTCTGCATCTGCCTTGCAATCAGTGGGGAAAGAGGATTTTGAACTTTGTAATACTTGAAAAAAAGCTTTTTTGGTTCTAAAGTTCTGTCTTGAAGAAGGTGCTCTATATACAAAAACTCAACACAGGTGAGGACAGTTCCTCCATAACAACTAATTTTTTTTTTAAAGCAAACAATATATTGCAGACATTAAGGGTTCATCTGGCAAGTCATCTTCTAGTATAAATGTTTTACCTAACTTCTCGTGTGGCAAGGAATTACTGGGTTTTAGCTTTATTTACATACAGCATTTAACATAAACAGTTTAATGTTTCTGGGTATGACCCGACTTCAAGGTTATTTGCTGCTGAAATAGTTTCCAGTACCAGTCAAGAGCACCCTTCTTAAGCAGGAGGTCTGAACCAGTTTAGCAAGGCACATAGCTTTAAATGGAGAAACTGATCGCTGGAGCTGGAAAAGTTCAATGGGAAAAGCTTGAAGATGCAAAGAAAGAAAAGAGCTATTATTAGGCTGACAAAGCATCAAACTTCACGAACAAGAAGTTATAGCACTCATATTATGTAAAGAGGGAGGGAGGCAGCGAAGAAGAACAGAAAAAAAGGTAAAGCTAGAAAAACATTAGATTCTTCTAAGACAATTGCCTCATAGATACTTTAGTTTTTCCCGTGTAGGCCAAAGCACTTAAAAAAATATTTTTCCCTGCTTCTCAAAGAGTATAAATAGCGCTGACAAACACCTTTGCTTCATTCAGTATGACCATTTACCTTATAAGAGACAAAATATATGTTGGAGAATTAAAAATGAAAGCTGTTATTAAAAAGTAAATGTAACCAGTAGAACAAATAAACACTCTGAAACAGTCACTGTAGTACGCTGTATTTTACAAGACTGTAGGAAAGGCAGGTTTCCTGAATCAAGGTGTGGAAGGAACATTTCTTTTCCATTCTTCCTCTTGCAAAAGATGGCTAATGTGTAGTCTTACAGAAATGACAGGAAGTGTCTTCTTAAGGTCACTTAACAATCACTATTTTGCTTTCTAAATGTTTAATCATTTAAATTACCACAACTGTCCTTCTCTCCAAAGTTTGCACCATGGAAGATTATCTGAGCGTGTGCATCCTTGGAACATAATTTAGCCCCTTTGCATCTCTTTCCACTGTTTTGCATTGGTCTTTTATTTAGATTACATTCATGTACTTTTTGCAAATTCAAAGTTGCTTAACTTTGTCTTTCAAACAAGGTTTCTTTGCAGGCTTTTGCATAAGCGTTTAGAGCTATTGATCAGTGAGACTGAAAAGGAGAGGAAGGTCTAAGAACCCTCTGGTTAGGGAACCATGTAATCTCTTCATCCTAAAAGGTATGTAGGGTAGTTTTCCATAGTGAAATTGAAAGGGTTCCCTGCATTCTGCTCTCATAGGCACATGATGCACTTATTTTCCATTATACTTACAGTTATTTTTTTTTTCTTCCCTAAACTGAGTCCTGGGTACCAAATGAAATTTTGAAAAAAAATTTTGGAATAATTTAATGACAGACAAATAGACATTTTCTTCACAATTAGTCTTTTAAACATTTAAAATAGCCACTTGTAGAAGCAAACTTAATCCCTGTGGATTCAAGAAGATAAGCCTTCTTTTGCCTTCCTGCTGGCACCTCCCTGACTTAGTTGAACAGAGTACACAAGCTCTTCGGTTTGCACCCTTGAGGGCCCTCACTATGGTGTTTCTGAACACTTTCTTTGGAGACAATGAAACTGCTTAAGAAATGTTTTCTCTAACAATCTTATGCTTGCCTTCATTTATTCCTTGCTTGGGAAACTAAAAGGAACTATTACAAAGGTTGAATGTTGAAGCGTGATAAATTTTTTTTTACAGAGAAATTTTATTTCAACTGAAGAAAATAAGAATCAAGAGGAAAGTCACTAACTGAGAATTATCAAAAATGAGCTTCAAAAATTTGATTTCCACTGAACTACACAAACCTAGTCATGTCGCAATTAAACCTTCTTGGTGTGTTGAAATGGAAAGATGTTATGAAGTTAGGAATGGATGGTAATGACAGAAGGAATGTGACTTCTCTTTCTGCACATGAGCAGGTCATATTATCATTAGACCCAGGTCTACTTCTGAACTTTTGTGGATTCCAAACACTTCCTGCTGGACTGGTCCTAACACATGGCTGTGTTACAAAAACAAGCACTTGATTTATTTCTCTATGATGCCAAGATCTCAAACATCCGAAATGGGTTTGGTTCTACAGGTTAGCTGAGAAAAGGCCTTTAGAAACAGCAAGATTCCTAACTTGTCACTTGGGATTCAACACAGGGATAGTTTTCTTTAACATGGCTTCATGTTGCCTTGTGGATTGCGCATTTTAAAGTGAACAGCATACGAAGCATGAATAACAGGCGGACTCTGGAAGAGACTAAGCATGGCTCAGGAGGCTCAAAGATGCCAACTGCCTACTGCACACCTACTGTTCGTTCCGATCCCCCAGGTGGTGTACTCCCCTTTATCTCCTCCTCTTGTACATGACCAAAATATACAGCTGGCTTTTGTGTTGGGAAATTCTGTGTAACTTTGTAATTGCAGTACATGACGTTAGAATACAAATTATTCATGAGGTCGTCTTATATCATTTTAGAACTGTAATGTCTGGCGTACAGGCGACCTCTGGAAAAAGCAAACAACTGAGTCACATTATCTTTAAATGTTACTATCCGTGTCTGCTTAGCTGCCCCGTATAAATGTCATGCCTGGATTAATCTATTTCTTCATAGCCCCTCCTATTCACTCTCTTTTCCTTAAAATGCTTTTATAGGAGCATAGGTTATGTCTGTTAATCTCATTAGCAAAGAACTAACATCTTCCCTTCAGAACACCTTTAGCTACCAGGGGGAGAAAATGCTGAGGATTCTGCCTCTGAAGTTACTCTCTCAGGAGAGTTCCCACTTCAGAATTATCCTTCAGTAAAAGCTCAGAACTGTACTCAATATTTACTAGCTCCAACCCTGTTGTTTTTTTGGTTTTTATTTCAAATTCAGTGGGTTTGATTATATGTCAGTAACCAGAATATGCACCTAATTTTGAGAAACAGATAATTATCTGGAAATGAAAGCAAAGAAAAAAAGAATTGTTTTTGGTAGAATCTATAATTTCCAAGCTTTTCCATGACTCTATGTCAATGTTTACAATTTGGATGAAAATAAACAGTAAGTTTTAAGTATGTTTATGGAACGACTTTTTAAGAAAAAGCAATTTGTAGACATTTAACTTTTCTAATATTTTAAGTATGTATGTTTTCTAATTAAATATGCATTTTGAATGTCAGAGATCTGGCATTACGTTTTCCTTAGTATGTGTTCTTTTATAACCTTAACAAGTGACATAAACTCTCTGGACCACATTCCCTGCAAAGAAAAGTTCTAGTTTCACTGTTTGTGCTGATATAATAGGACAATGCATACTATGGTCATGCCGTATTACAGTGCATACATTAGGACATCAGATTTCCTGATCATGG